TGAATGAGTGCTGTATTTTTTGTGATGCGTACTCGTCTTTCTCCTCTCTTCACTGTGAAATTGCAACTGTGGATTTATTTCTAACCGTGCCGAATGGAAGTGGTGTGGCTATCTGAAGGTCTCGGGAGCAAGCAAACAGGCCATTGCGATATTGATATTGACATTGCAACATTACTGCGATAGTTATTCTAATTAACCCTAAAGAAGGGCACGTAACCCAATCGATCCATTTTTCGGGGCAACGGATTTATAAAAGCTTGACCCATCTCAACTCTAGGTTCCACAACCGCGATCGCAATAGCGCAACGCCAATAATTCAGCTCTAGCTAAATGCACACCAACCTCCCAAAAGTTCCAGTTCGATCTTTTCCACCGCATCACACCTGATACAGCGCGGTGTGACATACAAGCTTACCTCAAAGATCCTTGACAAAGATGAAGCGGACGACGGACAGAAATTTCACTTTTTCCACATCTGTAGAACCATCACTGCGACCAACATCTGGCATATGAGTAAGAGTGCACTAAGATATGCTCAAGTGTGACTCAATTACTCTAGGTTGGGTCCGACAGACCGACTGTTGCACAGCAACGAGTTCGTTGCTGCAAAACATGGAGGTAGCCTTACAAAGGGAATGGGGAAGTCTGATGCTGTACTGTGCAGTGGCCTGGCGTTCGTCATACTTAGGCAGAGCGAATATGTACGTATCAGAGATACACGGCAAGGGGACTGGAATTCCGCGAAAAAGAGTAGAGGGTAAAAATGCGGAAGATTTTGAAAACATCCCAATACAGCTGAAGTTTCTCAAACGATTGCGAAACGTTACAGTCGATGGCTGATCCAAGCACCAATTTCAAAGAGGATGCGTTCCCGTTTAGAAAAAGATTCTGGCATACCTGAAGGTGTTTCGTGCTGCAGTGGATAGATGAAAATGTAAAACATGTTGAGCCAAGCCGAACTGTCAGATTTCGATTCCGTAGGCCAACATGAATAAAATTTGAGGACCACGTGACAAGTCATCAGGACTGCGCAAAAATGAATTCGACAGACACAAGGGTCCCAGAAACATTGTACTGTCACTGATAGATATGAGCTACTGAATTAAATCTCATAATCGCATGACATATTCCCAATATTCTCATACACCCTGGAACCTAAACCACTCGCTGATTCCAGTGTTGGTAAAATTACCATGTTACAACACATCTTGATCAAACAGTTGGTCTTGTCTCTGGTTCTTCTTCGAGTTGAGCCGCCCAGTACGAAAATACTCCTTTCAAAACAGCTGACATACTTCCAGGCATGCGGGCCAACCTACTGGTGAACCAGTATATCTCATTTCTCTTGCTAATGCCTAGAATAAAGAGCTTTGTATCATCTCGCAGTCTGTCGATGAAAACAAGCAACGACACTAGACTTTTCGTCAGATAAATGCAGATGTGGAAAATATTTTGTATTTTTTGATTCTGCCTGGCGTCCTTTGTCCAGTAGGGGGGTAAGTATTGCCTGAGTGTTTTCCTTTGTGAAGTAAGTAATCTACTTGCAAACAACAGGGAAATCAGTCGAGCTGTGGTGTAATGGAATGTCTCGAAAATCAGATGAAGCCATCAATCTGCTAATTGTCTGACAGTGGTGGAGATCCTGTCCTACACTATCACACCAAATCCACACTAGCTATGCCTCCCAGTGAAAGCCCTTTCCTTCGTTATTAGCCAGTCTCTTATCAGTTTCCTTTTGCAGGCTCTCATTGATGACTACTAACGGAGAGCTTGAGTACATATGTATGTATACGCACGTACTTACACCATGTGGAAAGTGAATGCTTTTTCTATCCATCCACGCTGAGTTAGGCTAAAGTGGCGCAGACGGTTGGCTTTATCCACGCGAAAAATAACTATAGGTTACCTGCAGTTCGCTTGAAGCATTCTCACTAAAGCCAATGAAGAATGCATTTTGGTACATGTGACAGCCCAAGACTGTCAACCTAAGAGTCATGTGATCAGTCTATCTGAACTCACCTGATAACTCCCCGATGAAGCAGAAGGTCTCTTTTGAATTTATTTTTCAAGATCGAATTAATACCCTGTGTTTCAGTGTCAGTAAATTAGCTATCCGAATACCTCCTCGTTTGGGAAGGAGGATTTTTGAGCTAATGATGATGCGTTGCTTCCCACCAAATTAACCAGTTCATTCTTATCACATGTTCGGTGTACTTTTGGTCACTGTAGCACACACAACATCACTCTTTGGTAACCCACTCAACTGTGGCACTTCTGACTGACAGATAATTATCGATTAATAAAGGGTCAATCGGTGAGGAGACACGCAGATCGGGTGACGCCCGAAGAAACGACTGCGGTTTATCCTGAGTGCAAATCGTTCAGTCGCCAAGTGCGGGCATTCACAACGCATGCGACAATGCGCACATAGTTCAGGAGCAGGGTATTCAAAATAGTGCGACCACGCGTGTGCGGCAAACCTCCTTCCTGTGAATCAGAAATCTGGAGGAATCACATCAAGTTAATTCAGGCTTCTGGTCCCGCTGCCGAACAGAAGTGCAAGAAAAGCGCGGTTGGGGTGGATTCAAGGCCTCATGTCTAGCTGAAGTCACTTGTTTCAAAATGGAAGCTGACTTAGTTCTCTCAAAGAACGGCGTATTTTTTTACCTCATCCACCCACTGCAGAACCTTCATGTATTTTGATGAACGAGTCTCTTGTCAAGAGCACATTAGTATTCCCCTGGTGACTCGAATTGGTGACGCGCTGTCCAGGCTTAGACCAGGCTTACAAGAATCGGTTACCTTGACTCACTATAACAATTCATTGATGAAAGTTTTCCAACTGTGCCTCTATCTTATTTTGTCGGAACGCAGTTGATTTTACTGAGCAATGCGGATTCTTCAAGCCTTCTTAGTGATAGAAGGTGAAAGTTTCTATCGCCAAGTGAGAAACCATATTATTTTGTATCATCCGTTACTTTTTCGAAGGTGCCATGATTCAAGCTATCTGAGTGTGGCTGAAGGGTGGGATTTGACGAATCTTCGAAACATTCAAGCTCCACAGATAAACAAAGGTATGGTGGTTTTGCATGGTTTGAGTACATGGTTGATGTAAAACACAGCTTGGACTGTTGATGAATCCCAAGCATTGGCTTCATTAACAAACAGTAAACGAGAGCTGATCACAGGGCCGGAGGGACCCAGCATGACGTAAGGTTGGTCGCGTGCTGATGTGCAGGTCATCCACAGAACGGTAGAACTACCAATAACATTGGCTACCTGTACACTAGACTCACACTTGCTGGTGTAGCTTGGAGATGCGAGAGATTCAGCCTACAGGCTCAACAGGTGATTTACTGTTTTAAATCAAGTAACAAACATGATATAGCAGTTGAGAAGGACGTTTCTTAACAATGGTCTTCAACAGGCTTGATGTTGTCCATGAGGGCGTTTATTACTTTCAGTAAGGCATGGCGATCAGAGGAAATCGGAGTATGAAATCCCAAAAAAGGGGCGAATGAATCCTTGAGTGTGACGGGGCCCCATTCTGGCATACCGTAACTTTCGTAAGCACAGCCGTTGATCTACGTTTTGTCTTTCTTTGGTGTGTGAGTGATTCGGGAAATTTACCTATAGTTTTTGTTCAAAAGGGTACGACGTAATGATAGAGTAGCTTGTGGCCAAGCAAACTATAAATTATAGAAGGGTTATTATGGGTCGCAGTGAGTTTTCATACCATCATTGAAGATGATGCTATAGCATATTTTGTTGGCTATTCCTAATTTGTGTTTTCTGGTGGGTTACGCTTGCAGCGTCTTTAAACAGGCTTTATTGGGAGCAGGAACTGATCCCCAACATTTCAACATTGCGTCATTCTTTTCAAAACTATTAAAAAAGCTGGTGATAACCAGAGCTTGTGCTAGTCAAACGTCGGCTAAATTCAAGCCTGATTATGAGTTAAAGGTGAGATTGCTGAGGTCTTGGTTTATTCGAGTGCGATGCTTAGTTCTTGTGGTGGGATGAGCTGATCGGTTCGGATGAATTCCGGTCAGAGAGGGTGAGCACAATGATCGTTATCACGACCTGCCAACCGGAGCTTTCACTCAACTAATAGGAAATTTTGTGTTTCCTATGCAACGTATTTTCTTAAGGCGCATCACTGTGAGAAGCTTCTGCATTTCGTTGCGGCTAGGATACAAAAAAGTTTATTACTTGTTCGCTCGTGCTTTAAAAATACCGCTGTCACAGTTGGTCAGTTTGAATATAAGGGAATCACTCAAAATTGCAATGGTACAGACCAACCAGCTCAGAACCATGATTGGGAGGTTGCATCTCAAATGAAAACCTAAAAATGATATGATTTTCATTTCTGTTTCTGACATCTGTGATGGTTCGTTATCTACAAAGCATTCACATAATCTTTGTTCTTCCGTATTACCATGAATGGTAGTGCTTGCTCAAAATTTTGTGACCACCTGTATATTGTGTTCACTTTTTTATCCTCAGTTGCCCCGATGAGGCCATACAATCATACTTATCAGACCTATTCATATTTCACAGTCCATAGGTGGGGAATATTACATGAATGAAACTCAAGAGGGGCGATGGACTCTAAACTCCAGTAAGGCATTTGTTGGCATACTACCATCGGTTTAATTTACCAACCTATTCTTTTTGCAAAAGAGCATATTCAGGCTATCGTCCCCAACCTAGATGCCATGAGGTTACCCACACTCTTGAATTTAAACGTCGATTCTCCCGCAGGTTTAAGCCGTAATTTATTGGTGTGTTTATCGGTCATAGAATTCCTGGTAAGCGCAAACCTGGCAGAAATCAAGGAACGCTCCTGAGAAGACTGATGGTTACAGTCAATCAATTCTTGTGAAAAGCATGCAGATAAAAATGTTAGTTGTAAGATAAACATCATGAAACCATAGCATTTTGTCCCTATCATGAGTCGGCTGGATGCGCAAACGATGATAAACAAACCAGCTACTCACCATACATCCATGATGGAAAACGCTCGGTGATTACGAACATGATATGCAACTTAACATAACAACCATGGGCGTTGATGTCGCGTGAATAGGCTTAATACCCTAAAGTTAATTCTCCGATACGAGGCAGCTTTCGGATACAAATCGTCGCATATACATGTAGATTGGCCCATCTTCATTGAGAACAGCACCATAAATTGGGTGATAGTTGAAGTAGGTGGTTTTGTCCGTCTCCTCGTCTTGTTCTTCGTCTAACGGCGTTTTGTAAACGGAGGGTGCTTGTTTCATGTGTTCATTGAATACAGGTTCTTCTGTGGGGGATCCAAACTCCGGATGCTGCTCGACCATATTTTGCACAACTGGATTCGGTATTGGGGATTCGGAACACGAACGCTGATTCGATTTTACAGAATTTGTACTTCCTCGTTCTCCGTCGAGTTTCTCGTCATCGGCTTCTTCTGATGTCCAGAGATTTGGTTGTGAAACCGATGTCGAATGGACTGAAACTTCGGAAAGCGTTGAATATGGACGCATTCCAGTATTTTGCGTGCACAATTTTTTTGAAGGATCTTGGCAAGCGCGGCAAACAAATTCGCATAGTCGGTTGGTTTCCTCCTCCGTTTTGCATTTGTAGGTTTCGAAATAGGACTTTCCCGGAATATCCGACCTGATAGCAAGCATGAACATCTTTGGATGTTGTGGAAATACAAAATAGTGTTCAATGTCACTGTAAAGGACCCAGTTACGAAATGGGCCTTTCGAAATCAGTTTGTTCTTCTTGAAGTTCAGCCTGTCTTCCAAACATTTCAACTCAGCACCATGGGAGTGACGCCTTTCCATCTGGGAGGAGAGAAGTTTTCCGACAATGTTCTCATCCAGAGCGTCGGATGACTTGCGCTGGGATCTTGCCACTGTGCAAACTTTACACCTGAAAAATACGGCCTGTTTATCCTTGGCAGACCCATTCAAGTTTGTACTATTACGCGAAGAACGGTTGCTTTGGAGACCGGAATTCCGTTTAGCCGAACTCTCGCGAGACATTGAAAACAGTGGACGAAAGTAAAACGAGAATTCTGCTAGAACTTGTGCGTACGGATTGATAATCGCTGCTGTTTATAAGGGCTTCTTAACCGTAAACCCCACTGGTTGTCCAGTACAATGTCTACTCTGAGCACATTTGCTGGTCCACGCATGTGTTTGTATGTGTCTGCGCAACGTGCAATTAGCTTCAGCCGGTTGGATACATCAAATCAGTTAGCACGTATGATCTATTTGATTGTCCGTACGTGTGCATAATTTTGTGTGTTAACCTAGACAGGTAGCTTTGTGTTTTATCCACATTCCATCGATAGTGGACACTGGAATCTCAGACCGACTCAGCTAACCTCTCGGTGACGCGCACAGCATAAACGGCACTTACCCAATTCGGTGACGTCAACATTGAGGACCACGTGCAGGTTATGTGTGGGCGTAGAGGTGAAGCTGAGTGAAGTTGTGATGATTGCATGCCTTAGCAACAGGAAGTTCCTCAGCATAAATACAAAGGTTGAACGTTCTGACAACCAGCTAACGCACATGAACACTAGGGATGTATACGACCGTTCTGTTGAAAACTCATCAACAGTTGATGTGCGAACTTGCTCGGATCGCATAAGTGTAGCTTTACTCGTAGAAGTCTGTCGGAGTACCGTTTGTACTCATCGAACACGCTAGAAGATTTTGGATGAAAAAATACCTCCAAAGACACTCCATGCGTACCCTTTGTAGCTTTGTTCGTGAGACAAATGTAACAAGGCGTGGCCGGAAGCTGAAAAATGAGTTCTTACATCCTCCGTGCTTCAAGGCTCCAAACAACTCACCAGAAGCAGTGAGTCATGGGAGGGCCTTTAGGACCGATCCAACCGAAACCGTACTGTGGTAGCAGCAACGAATACTATGAGTATACGGAGTGTTTTGGTGAATACTGCCTGCGTCGTATGAGCGAATAAAGAATTATCTCCCTTCCCCGCATTTGTTTTTGATAAGTGAGAGTATTTTTCATGAGGATTTCACTCGATCGTAAAATGTTATATTCAAAGAGGAATCGCTTTGCTGAAGATTGTTAGTAGCTTGTTTGTGTTTACTGGTCAAACATACACTGTGACTTGTGTTTCCAAACTTTTGTATTTTGGCTCGAATGTGAGAAAAACTGGAATTAGGGAAATCAATATCCCTTTGATGCACACATTCAAGAACAGCATGAACAATTAACAAAATTATTTGTGGCTGTCAAAGCAGTACAGCGAACAGATCACTACCAATGGGATAAAAGCAGTAGTTATCGTATCATCGAACTTACATGTTTAAGTAATTCCCTTCAAAATGAACCTACTACTAAATCAGACTTTGCTGCACCGAGGGACCACCTTGATGAATATTTTAATCTGTGGGACCTGTGGGACAAACTAACCATTACCATAACATCCCAGAGGGGAATTTAGGATAGAAAATAGAGACCATGCCAGACAATGACAACAAATGAGGAGAGTAGCAAATACGAAGACCATCGACTCACCATCGAGAAGGGGATATTCAGGAGTCAGACTGATAGTGCATTTGATTCATTCACTGAAAACTGGTAATATATGTAGATGAGTTCATTTTATTCTCTGATTCTGCTCAGCGTTTTCATACGATTGCTGGAACCAAATAACATAAATTGCGCTCAGCTTTCCTCAAAGCCTCAAAGCGCTTGCTGAAAACCGTAACAACCCAGTTGTGACAGTAGTTCACCTGTTTTCCTTGTAGGTATGAAGCCGATGATTTCATAAATGTGCGATTACGGACTAGCCCATCGGTAGTTAGTATAGGAATTATACCAAATGATGATACAGTATTTGTGGACCATGTGAATCTGATTTCGAGTCCCCTGATTACTGGGTCTTTGAAGTTTCACTCATCAGTCATGCTCAGACGGGACAAATATGCTCATTCACAGTATACTGGCCACGTACACGGTTTAAGAATCAGTCGCATATTATAGTTTGAACAGCCGCGTGAATTGCGTTTCGGAGGAAACTTTTTCCAATCTTCCCGTCGCAATCGGTGGTTAACTGCAATACACCTGTTATTCAGGTGTCAGTCAAGCCAATCAGAAAATTCAATGTTTAGCACCGTGAAAGAAGCTACAAATTATTTTCGACCTTTCTACGGACGCTTTTTAAAATGAACTACATGATTGTTTTAGCTTTAGGAAGGAAAAACCATGTAACTCGTCTGCTACTCCAGATCAGGGTGTTTGGATCCTGATCAAAAGTAAAACTGACGTGCTGGTTTAAGAGGGGCTTGTTTTTGTATCCACTTCGTTCTTGGTCAAACGATCACTTCTATAGACCCGGGTGTGGTTGTTCTCTTTAACCCAAACAAGAAAATCACACAACCTTCAAGCAGTAAACAGTAGCTGGACAACCGTTCAGGCAACTCTAAAATACGATCGATCGAGTCAGCCAAGAGAGTAACTAGGTCATCGTCAGAAACTCTGGACCGACGTAACACACCGTTTACCTGCAAACATGGTAGTTTCTCTGAGTTAGCCGAATTCCAACTGCTGGCAAGAAAACGAGTAGGCACAGTTACCGAGACTTTACATGAGCAAAGATTGGATCTGGCTCTTCCTATTCTTTCTTACGGATTAACCAGAATCATATACACGGGAAAAAAGAGCTATTAAAGCTGCGTTGATATAAATGCGAATAAAACAACCCTTTGAATAGAAATCACCGCGAGCAAACTGGCTTTTGTCTCCCCTCAAGGCGGACTCTATTGGGCTAATACTTAGAATTCAAACTCACTACGTGACCACCGAAAAACTGCACGAAAAACTGTACTACCGTTCAACAACTATCTTTCAAACTAACTGTCCAGTGGTCTGCACTCAGCTTGTCTCCTGGTTTTCACATGTTGCATCAGATATCGATAACCTTTCACCCTAATGACCTATTTAGGTTGCTGTCCAAAAAAGTGGTTGTTCTGAATCGAGTCTGTTGGCGTCACTTGTGGTTCTCTGTTTGCTTGGAGTTTGTCCTTCAAAGAACATTCAAAATAATTTGCATTTATACCCAAAGAGTAACATCGCGGTCGAAAGTCGACACTAATCACTTGACTATCCCACTCAGAAATCGGTGTCCATGGTTAAATGATACGAACCTAGGTAGCTTGAGCGGCAAATAAGTTTTAGTGAGTTGGGAAATTCGTGACATGTACTGCACAGTTCTAAGAAACATCTTCCGTAGAAAACACCGCTTTCCCCCGAGAACATCGTCCGAAGCAATCAGTCGAGGAGTGCTCCAAGTCAGGGTAATGAGAGAAGAAATTGGCTACAGCCGGACGGAGTGCTGTGGGATTTTGAGGTCCTCCTGGATGCTACTCAAATGTCTTGGTCACTGGTTGCAAATCACGTAGGTCATGACACAAGTCAGCTGCTATCACTTTTCACCCAAGCCAACGTTTGCATGCACGTTTTGTATATATGTAGTGAGCCTCGCGATGGATGACTAGGCAGCGCCTCTGGTGACATCTGATTCCAGTGTGATTGCCAAGTTCCAGTGATTACCGCTGGTCATTTTTTGACTGTCACAGTCCTATCCCAAATAACGTTGCGCAGCTCAATAAAAACTGCCGATCGGTGTCTAAGTATCTCAGAACTACATAGTTTACAAGGCTAATTTCATTTGCCTCCAGCTGCCATAGAAGTAGTACTGTGGGGGAGGAACTCAAGATAAATGTATTTGTTTGCAATATAGGCCTGTGCTCAAGCTCCAATCTATAAATATAGGATTCTGGAGTGAAGTGTTAGAATTTGTGTGACTAGTTTAATCAGGCGTTCCGAAGCTTAAAATCCGCTGGTGCGCAGGCCTTCGTCACAAACGCGTTTCTTTAAACATGTCATCCGGCTGTTGAAACACAACTTCTTGGTAAGTTCCTGTGATTCGTGAGTGGCTACTCTTTAAAAAACATAATCACAGAGAGAGACTAAACATGACCTCTTCAGGGATGGGCAATGCGAGGTAAATCTCGCCGATAATTCTGGTCGCCAGGTTTTCTGATGAATGACCCTTCACCGTGGTCCTTTTATTGAGGTTATCAGTGCTCAAGTTTCCTCAACATAAGACTCCAAACGATGAAATATGATTGGAGATGCACAATAATAATGGTCACGGTGGCACGCATTGCAAGCTAGAGTGGCCTTTTAAGCGGCATACACCAGTTATTCAGGTGATTCTGACTGGTGAGCTCAGGAAAAACGCTGTGCTCGGTACATTTCGAACCCTTCTTGCCCCGTCCCCACAGAACCCTCAGATTACTGAAATCGCAACCAAATTAAGGTGCGAGTCAGTTTGCATATAAAAGCTACCTTTGCAAAACGCGCAAAGGTAATGAAATTAGTTCTTAAAGAAGCCTGAATTCATGACGGATATCACCCATAAATTTGTTGGAAACTCTTTGATGGCTCCTCACCGGTTTCACTAGTCTCGGGACCTTTCAGGTGAGGGCAGTCCGCAAAATTTTGGTCGACATCGCACTCCACTTGAACCTGAGCTGTGTCTGATTCAGGAGACACCCACTGGCAAACTAATATGGTTCTAATGGAAGACTCATCTCAGTTGAAGAATATGACTAGGCTCTGGAAGTTTGAAATGTATTGTTGGCTTTTGAAAACTTTTCAGCAAACATTAGTAAAATGCCCGTGAAGGAAATGTGCTCGATATATCTGAAGTACCTTGCGCTAAAGGAAAAAGGGTGGCGTATTCATTCGAAGAATATCATAAACAGGAGATTCAGCTTGAACTCACTCAAGCCTTCCGTTATATGCAAACCAATTTGCAGCTGCATATCTCTAGAGAGGGTTCACTTTTAAGTTAACTAGAGAAATTCTGATATAATATTTGGTTTGGAAACTCGTGAACAAGTTAACTGCTAAATTAAAGTTCGGCGTTTGGAAAGATAGGAATACCGGTTCTTCCGGAAGTTAGCTACAGTTTTTACAAGACAGCGGGAAGGCCCATCATCAT